CGGTACGAAAACCCATGCACGTGTACGAGAGGAGTCGAATGCTAGAGCATATTTGTCGTAGGTGCAAAGTCCTGAAATTTATTATATTGTTTTGGTATGGCAGCATTAACTTCTTTTCCGTAAGATTTGCACTTTAAACCGTGTTTATCATACATATATTTGGAACAGCACTCGCTAGATACGCTTGGAGTCGTTACCCTCGCGCCCGTTAAAAGATTGTTGAACGCCATATTTTCTAAACAGTGGGTGTGTATAGAGTAGTGTTTCAGATTAAACGAACCAGCTCAGTATCAACGGTCTCGAGTGCATCTCTGCGTATACGCTTGCATATGACTATCAATGCATGAAGTCTCGTCTCTAGCAAGATTAATGGGCTTAGTATTTTGTTTCTGGCTGCAAAAACAGCAGCGTTTTATCATAATGCTTCGTAAGTGAAAAGGTTATTCTTATTATTTTCTCATGCCAACAGAAGAAAGATAAAGCTTAGAAATAATTAGCCAAAGTCCTGGCCAAACTCATAAAGCTTTAACGATTTAATATGTTTCCCAAAAGATTTTTGGTCACAGCCAACGAATCTTTTTTTCTAGATTCTTCTAGATAAAAATATAGAGTTGAATTGGCCGCGAAATAGCTAGAAATTGGCCACTTAAAATTTTTAAAATAGATGATCGCTGAGGTGATACTTTACCTCGTTATACATTGTAACTAGCCTATTCATGAAAAACAACAGTTTTAGAGAATATCCAAAGAAATTGCTTAATACCGACACTCTCTTGATGAGGACACTTTCTCCGGTCGCTTTGATGTCCGTATTAACTGGGCTTGACCCTACGTGCATCTGCTGGATGGGCCTTTTCAACGACCATTAAAACTAATGATTTATTAACCAGAGAGGTATAGTTATAATACTGACTTATAAGCAACATCATATACAACGATACTAGATCCGGTGATCAACAAAAAACATACTTATTGAGCAAGCGCAAGACCTTTAATAAGCGCAAAATATGCCAGTGCCTAATTTAAGAAGACAAGCAGAAGAAAAGCGGTGTTTGGATTCTACTAGCCGCTTACTAGTAAACGCCGGCTGATTTGCGCAAACCTACTATATGTGCTAAAAAGATCATAAATTGGACACCGCCATCCAATTTTGTCTGTTGGACAAGGCTACGCCTTTTGACAACTATTTCTTTAAACACTTTCTTTGATACAAAAAATTTTCAGGTTTACGAATATTTTCGTCGAATTATAACTAAAATCTAAATGATTTTATCCCCCCTTTTTCCTCTTCTAAGCATCAAGTCAGGTCTTTTTTGGTTCTCAAAGGCTGAAAATACCGGCGACTCCTTTTAATTCAACTGCGTTGTTGGCATAAGAAATTTAGATTGAATTGTAATGTCTGGAAGTTCAGTAACGCAGTGTTTGCTTTGTCTGAGTAATCAGAGTTCCGCTGGTTCAAGCGGATGACTCAATTACGAATAACCTTAGTAGTAATTATAATGATAAAAATCAAGATGAATGCACCCATGATATCTAATTAACACGAAAAAGAATCGATAATCAATACATAATTATACGTTTTGATTTGTCTTATCGCCAAGAGGGCGTAAAGGATATTGGAATCATGAAGCCACTTAGGAAATGCCGACAATCGCATGCACGGGCCAGCAAGTACAAACTATCGGTTGGAGATTTGTGATTTTATTGTATTTAAGCATGGACCAAAAAATTAAACATATTACATTTTTCATAAACTAAAGTAAGGATTATTTTGTGCAGAAAGAAGGTACCTCCTAGTGGGCGCCATCATGGTCCAGTTTCTCAAACAATAGTCTTGATGTTACAACGGTTATGAATACGTGCACCTATTTCAAAAAAGGTTGTGGGAGTCAAAGGCAATAGGCAATAGGCGATAAGCGATAGGTCATTCCAGGATCCATTAATAATAACTGGAATGACTAGTCGACTTCAACAATAAGCCTCAGATTATTTGAAATTACATAATTACTTATCTGTTTATTGACTCATTCAAAAGCCATTGAGCACGAGGATAAAGTGACAGCACGAGGATACAGTGACTGCACGAAGAAAACCTGATAACCTGTATAGACAGTTTCCTTGCGTCATAGCAAATACGTTTTTCTTGGCTTAACTATATAGTCGTCCTCTTTAACGAAATGTCTGCACAATTAAATTGATATCTTTTGTGGTCTAATCTAGAAAGTTCCATAGTAGGGCCTATGAACAGCTGTAATGCCGGCCCTTAAAGGCCAAGTTCAGAGCTAGAAATCTTTTCGAAAATCCATGTTATAAATGTTATTTATTTGTCTCAAAAGAAAACCAATTGAAGCAAAACCCACCATTGAACACAAGTTCATTGAACATGCTTTATTTTGGTTAGGCTTCCTGATGTTACGTGATACTGGTACCACGGTGTAATAATATCATAGCTTGTGTCATTGTGTGTTTCTCACTACAGGAGTGCGCGTTAACAAGCTCCATCCTGTGGAACGCGGTTTCTCGAACAAAACAAAGTCTGCTATACTCTCATTACACACCAGACCCAACAACAGCTTTTCTCTTTGGGAATCAAAACGCCCACTCTTAATAACAATATCACCATAAGCATTTCTCAAAATAATCAACCAAATTGGCACGGCCAGTCCACGTCCTAGTACGGACACCATGAGCCGGTCGACTTTTCACCCTCAAGCACTCTTTCACCCTCAGTGGGACTCAGTATGTTTTTAATTGATATTGTTTTGTTTGTCTCGTGTGAGATGTAGTAGCTTTAAAAGGTGTTATTATCTGCAACACTGTAAAACAGTTATTATTATTCGTTGAGATCTTTTACGAGTTTCATTGAAAAAAGTCGTTAACAACTGACCTTTATTAATGATTTCACTGAAATACCCAATACTTCCGACCCTATTTTTACATCTGCATTTCAGTGTTCAAATCTCACTGAGTTATAAACATGAATGTATATGTTCTAAATAAATGTGGCTAGCACAAGGTTCGGTGAATAGGCGTATATGTCTGAAGTCTAAATACAAAGCAAAAAATGAAAGTTTTTTAAGGGTTTTCGTAGTTGCAGGAGCTTTGTATGAAAAGAGAAAAGTTGTACAAACTGTACAAGTAAAAAACTTTTTGTATACTAATGAATAAAGGCAGTTGATCCAATGTTTGCTTAATGAAACTTAGACGGGAAACGAAACTCAAAAAAGTGTAGTTAATATAAAGAATAGCTGCGCATCAAAAAGAGGTGACAGATTTTTGTACAAAGAAGCAAGGAATTTTGTTGATATCATTTAAAATAAAATTTGAAGAGAGCAAGTTGAAGGCCAAATCGAGTTGTCAATGTTAATGAGTTTGAAAAAAAAACAACAAACGAACCGAAAACCTTAATTGATGTCCAGTTTCGCTTTCCACTTACAATTCTTTGCAACAAAATTTTCGCATCGTTTTAGCCGCATTCAGGTCTTCGTTCATGTCCAAACAATGTAACAGGATTCAGCATTCCAGAAACTTTTGTATCAAGCTACACATAGTTTTTATTTTTCTATGTATCGGCCGAAGCATTAAAAAGCCCTCTTTGTGTGTTTGTCTTTCAGATTTAGTTTTGTAAACAATCGTCGGAAACGGTCTTTTTTCGCAACCTTTATTGGCAGACTTCGGTACAATTTTAGCTTGCTCTTTAGTTTTTCAACTGTCGCAAAATACCCAAGAAATAGCCGAGAAAAAATCCTGCTTTTAGATTTTTTTACCAACTGTGCAATGAATCGAAAATGCCATGCCTGGCTACGAATAGTCCACGTTTTGTTGTTGACTTATTGATATAGAATTTTGTGAAACTTTCAGTTAGCTGTAATTTCAAAACAAGAAAAATGGCCTAAGGCAAGAAGCAAAGATGTTGTTTGTGGACAATTAATGGTCCTTGACCAAGGGATCGCCAATGGACGACTGCTCTAGTCATTCTTGGGTTTTATGGAAATTAACTTCAATGGAAAAAAAATAAGAAAGCGATTCGTTTGACAATGTTGGACGTTCTAATCAATAAAGCAATCACAACGATTTAGGAGCTTTCGCTTGAATACACAACCGAAAGAATAGTCTTTGTCTGCGTTGTTTCTTTATACAAAACCGTCGTGAATTCTGAATCACTTTGAATTATCATTTGCATTATTTGGACTGATGTAAACGTGCTATTGCTTAATAGCACCAATTTAGTCATTTGAAAATGCTGTTCTTAGCTCATTCTTTTCTCATCGTTGCACAATAACTGAAAGCTTACTGAAACATCCCTCGTGATGGCTATATGCAGCCATAATGGGTTTGATCCAGTGAAGGTCCGTTTTTTCTCTTAACACTGACATCTTTGAGCAGTTTTGGTCATCAATTATAAAGAAAGCAATTGCATTAGCTAAAGTTTATGGAAATTGTCTTTTCCGGCTGCAAACATTCAAATGGAAATGGCTAGAAAGAGAACTTCTCGAAATTGGCTTACACATTACAGGCCAGAAAGATAAGCGTTGTCGAAAGCACTTAACGTCGAACCTTAGAATCAAGGTTTAAAATGTTCCGAGAAATATTGGACCCACTTCGGGTTGCTTTGGTCTTAGAATGTTGGACCCCCTTTATTTAGTTGTTTCGTCTTTCCATGATAAACTAGGCTAGACTCACATTATAAACTAGGCTAGACTCACATTATTTATGTTTATTGTAGACTGAAAATATCATCCATTCCCATCATAAAGGACTCACATATATTTCATTTCAAAAATCCCATTTTTTTATTTCTTTATATATTACTCTCAAGCGTACACGAAGATATAAAAACTATTATTAAATTTCATTTTTGCTTTGAAAAATAATTTTCTTCGTTCACACAAATATTACAGCAACACTTGCTGCATTTATCGACTTTCACTTTTTAGACTGTAAATATAAAACTCTTAATAAATACTTTATATAAAACAACTTATATATACATAATTAACTTCAGTTCATTTAGGAAATAATTTACTTCAATTGATCATAATAGTCTATAATTTCCATGGCCTCCAAAATTGTTGGCTTGTCGAAGCAGACGATTTTTGTGATTTTTCTTGACTTGGCTTGCGATCTTCGGTGGTTTTCTGGTTTCGTATAGAGTTTAGCGCAAGATATTTCTCAGTAAGGAGTACTCCCTGAGATAACGTCGGCGAGACTGGAGGTGACATGTAGAGTGGGGACGGTGGGGGTGATGGGTAGAGGAACATTGGTGTCATAGGCTGGATTGTTTGGTTTTTGGCGGGAAATCCTTGCGTCGACGACGCGCTAGGTACATGGACAGGTGCAGGAGATTTGGCCATGTTTCCTTGGCAACAGGAGGCTAAGTGATGCATTAGACCAGCTCGAAGATTATCCGATCCGGGACTTTCAACATTTGAAAGTTTTTTGGTGACTTCTTGGGCGCAGTAATTGAACCCAGCTTGGTATTCAGCGAGGCTCGTTTCTGTTAAATAAAAAATATCGTAAAAAAATAATTAAGTAATTTGATTTTAATGGTCACATGTGAGCCAAAGTTAAATAAAAAACTTTCGAATAAAAACAGTGAGTAAGCTTCCTAAATCCATAAAATTTAATCAAAGTTTGTTTAAAAAGAGTAAAATTCAAAGCAGTCAATAAAAGAAGTAGCGGGAAAAGTTGAGAAAAATGCTTCTCCAGCGTAAGAAAAAAGAGTGTTGTAAGAAAAAGTAATGATTTTTTTCTTACCGTTTTGGGTCTTTTCTAGTTGTCTCATTTCTTTTAAGTACTGGACGGACATCTCCAAGATATCAGCTTTCTCCATTTTGGAGTATCTCGCAGCCTATCGGAAAAGAATTATAAAAATTTAATTAACGTCGAAGAAAGAAATCCTTGTATTTACAAGTCAAAACGAGAGAAGAAAAAAGGTCTACTCTAATGTATTTACTTACATCTTTATTGAGAGATTCCAGGACTAATGTTTTGAGCTCGTTCAGACTGTCGTTGATTCGGGCTCTTCTCATCTTTTCCATGAGAGGTTTCTTGGCCTGCGATAGGAAACAAACAAAATAAGTACAAGTTCAAAAACGGTCCCTCAACTTAAATAATCAATACAAATGAGCTTTAGCATACTTTTGGATTTAATCGTTATTTACCTTTCTTTTTTCTGACAAAATCTTACTACAATATTCCGTCGTTATATCGGTGTATACAGCCATGATTTTATGGTTTGTTTTGATTGCTGTATTCACTTTGGATTTGATTCAAGTAAATTAGAGACCTATTCTGGATGGGTCCTGATTGAGCGTGTGTCAGTCGTGTGCCAAAAACCTCATTTTATATGCCATTGAATCGTGGGAAAATTCCTACAGCCTTGTGTCATTGATCGCAAATATTTATCCTCACATTTTCTAAAACAATCACGGGAACAGACTAAGACAATAGGACTGACCTTACAAGAGGCTAGGCCGTGGGAACGCTTCATCGTGATTGGCTGAGAGCTTTTAGTCGCACGACAGACTCATGACACAGTTCGATTAGCTCTGCAGTAGCGCGTGAAGAGCGTGAGACCGGTCTCTCCTGATTGGTTGAAATTTAAGTCAACGTCTGTGCTTAATTACTTACAAAAAGACAGTATACACAACTTCAAAACAAAGACATCTACAAATTGAGTGCCTCGATGAAAAGTTGAGTGAGCTACGTCGCGAAGACATGCCCGTGCTAAAGTGTTTCATTGTTTTTTCTGTGTGCTCGGAGTGACGGGTCGAAGCCTGTTGGATCGCAGATTGAAGTCATCCGCTCGTGACATCGTGTTGATGACAGGTTAATGATGTTTCCCACCGAGTATTTAATGTGTAATTTACACCGGTCTTTTCTAATCTTCGAGCTGTGAGCCGCATCAAATTATATGCACGTGTGGTCAACCCCAAGCTCTTTTGTGTTGCTTCTGCGGTTGTCTTCATATTGTCCTCTCTTGAGCTCCACTCCTTTGTCTTTTTATAACACTCATACTTCGATTCACTCTTTAGGATTTTCATCACAATAGATCTGAAAACTTTCCCACGGTCTTGAAATAAAGGACATTTTACAGCTTGCTGTCGAATCTGTTTAGTACGCAAGATTAAGTCCTTTTTGCTATTGGTGTGTGGTCCAATGTGCGATCATGTATGTAGGTTTGATTTTAGCGTAGTTTTTAAATAGGCCCTTGGCGTTTTTATAAATTTATATGTAGACTAAATTAATAGGTTTATTTGTTACGAGATTTAAAACTCGACATATACTTGAAAGCCATTTATCAAAAAATATCGACAGAGACCAATGATATGCGTTTTATTAGATCGTCTGCGCCATTATTATTCATGCTATGAATCTTTGGTTTCTTTATGTGTTAACTAACAATTTAGATTTCTAAAGGAGATTTAAATAGTATCTTAGGTCATAATCCTATATCTTGCTTCAGAAACCGAAACCTCAGATTGGATTGTTCTATCCTCGGGCTTATCTTAAAGTCAGTTATCGCACGTGTTTAAAACAACGAAGTTCCGTTTCGAAACCACTTCTTTTGCAAAACAAAACCGACGTTTATCAGAATTGTTTTTAATAACTAGTCGCATTCTTGATCTATTACCTATCAGTCTTTGATAAAGCATATTTAATTGTAATATTGTATTGAAATTACTGAAAAAGTAGTACTCGGAATTTTAGTGTTTGTTGGACAGCTCGTGCATAGCACCACAGCAGGTTCTACAAATAGGAACATGATCTAGTTATTCAAGCCCTTAGCAATGTTCAAGATAGTATTTTATAGTCCTGCCTGACTCTGGATCAATCTACTTGTCATCTGGAGTGAACTCATAATAAACAATACTCTTATCGATAGATAAAAGATAGTCTGAAAAAGAAAAAGACTTTTAGACAAATTGATAATTTCGAATTATTGGAAACTAAGTTAACGTAAGAAAACCAGTTGGATAAAACTACTTATCAATTACTAAGCTTTTTTGGCGAGGTCTTACTGTGTAGTCTATTGAATTCGTATTCATAAGGTAATGAAAGGCTAACACTGACGTATTTAAGTTGTTGTTCTCAGTATGTGTTTATGGGGTTGTAACAATTGTTCATATATTAACGTAATCGCCAACGATTCATATCGATCTTTGAGAAATTTCCAAAATAGAACAGAGAAATCTATTGTGGTATGTAATAAAAGTGATGAATGAGAACCGCTTATGGTCGTTACATCATTATTTTTCCATTCATTTTTCGATTTCTTTTGAATTCTTTTTCATTCATGAATACAAATTGTACATCAACACTTAATTTTTTAAAGTTTCTTTATTCCTTACAATAATTTGAAATAAATCATTTGCTTGTATAGAAATTGTAATTTATAAAAAAAAGATGTAATGTTTCTTGACGTGCTTCTCACCTAACGTACTCAAGGATTCATATTAAAGGAATATTCGCGATTCAAGTTAATGATAGATAGTTGTGCATTGGAGCAGCTGCTGTTGAAAATAGCATAGCTGGGTCAGTGATAGACGAAAAATATGACTTAACGAATAACAATTTTTCTAAGAAAAAGAACAAGTTTCGTCTCCATACTGGAGCATATCCAGTATGCACAAATCCGTAGCTTTGAAATTCAGAACTCGTCCATTAATATCTTAAAGATTTTCTTTGTACATTGTTAATCGGTTCTCTGGCGTCCCTTTTAGCATTATTTTTTGAGCATTTTTAAAATAGTTATTTTTAGAAAAATAAGATGAAAGAATTCAGTTCATTGACATTAAGAACAGCAATTTCGGAATATTTTTTTATATAGAATTGACTCGCAATTCAGATTTCTATTTTTGGATTGCGATAAGTTTAGATGCAAAATCAGTTTTCTTAACTATGACAGGCGGCTAAGAATTTTTTAGTACTCTTTAACTAAAATACTTGAAATTTTAGGGAAGAGTTAAAAAAATAAAGAAGCGCTTTTTTCAAAAGTGTTACAGATAAGATATTATAAGATGAGTATTTTTCAGAGCCGGTCGTTCTTGATATTGCTGAAATGTCATATCTTGATGGTTTACACTCAGAATGAAATGGTATTGACGATTTTGATCTTACTGACTTAGCTCTTAGTGAACTATTCATATCATTCCCATCCCCCCCCCCCCTCCCCATCCTCTCCCTCCCCTTGACCATTGAATATTTGGTTGTAAAACGCACAACGTTTTCGCTAAATGTGTCAAATTCAAAAAAACTTCTGGCTCTGCTTCTTCAACTCAGTACAACTAGGGTGAGTTTTGAGCTTCATCTGTCTCATCCAGGAAAAAAAGATACATGTTTTATGTAATTTTACTTTAGGATCTTAGACTGCTATGTTGACCTCCCAAGGTTTTCTTGTATGTACGACATAATCTTTTTATGAACATAAACGACTAATATAAAGTTCGTTTAAGATTCTTAATTTAAGATGCTTTGACAAGGGTGCTACATAGTGAACAAATGCTACATGAACTTCAGAAACTTCAGTTAACGCTTGAATTTTTCTCATCATATTACCTACTTGGTAAATAAAAATATAACTATTGAATTCCACGCCACTTACATGAAATCTCCATCAAAATAGCAACGGACTATTTAACATGAATTACAGCATTCCTTGTCAGACTCAAAATAGATGTAAGCTATTTCCATAAGTCATGTGCCTGAATTCCTTGATTCACATTAAAGCTAAACCCGACGCCTCAAGCTACTTAAGCTTCAACCATTAGCTTTTTCAATTCCTAATTTGGCTTTACGATGTAAAGTTAAAGTTTGGGCGTGGCCACTTTTCTATTCTTTTTTTTTTTGGCGTCAGTTGTTTAAGAAGTTGAGCTTGCAGTGCTTAGTTAAGAGTCGTGAATGAGGTCATTTTTGATTGTGTGGTAATATACGCTACTGAAGTTCTGGCAAAAATGTTCCTATGTTATATTAGCGACGTGATGTTACGAAAAGACCATTTTGTTAAGAAGTTCATGGTGGTCGTTTTAGTTATCAAGCTGAATTAGAATTGGCTCAGGCTTATCCGGTTTCCGTATTTGCCATTTCCGTGTGCCTGTGCCTGCTGATTGCCAAAGTCAAAACATAACACCCCAGTTTGCAAAGCTTAGAAAAGCTATCGCAGTCAAATCTTACCTCGTTTACCCTTTCTCGATTCAAGATCTGGTCGGCCAGGTCATTTACGTCATCAAAATTTCCGAAATTCCTTAAAATTCATCAAGCACTAAAGTTCATCAAACTATGCCCTCTATTAGGAAATCTTTCCACTGCTATTTTGTTCTTGCGATTTCTTTAACGTTTATGATAAAATAACTCTAAATAGGTTCATATGAAGCAAGCGAAGTAATGTCAAAGGAGAGAGACACTCGTGCGCGCTGGCAGGGGTAGTGTGACAGACAGACACATGGAGAACCCTCCAGAAATCAAGCTTACAAAGAGTCGACTCACTGACTAGGAGTATTAAGGAGCCAGTATATCGGGTTTAAACTTAACTAGGACACTTCTTTGCCAACGAATCTCAGGCTGTACGAGTTTTTCTAAAGAAGCCCAATACAATAACCACCTGTTTGTCCTCGTGTTTCTCAATTTAGGTTTCATTAACGCTCTTGAAAAAAAAACAAGAGCTGAAAGATTTTTAAACGTTTTTATTTTTAAAAATGTGCCAAATCTTTAGGACGTTAGATCAATGAAATTAAGCAATCTGACCTCCAGACTGAAATTATATATATTTTTTCAGCAATGCCGATCAAATTCTTGCATTATTAATCATGAAGGGCACTTCAGAGTTGATGGATTTAGAGTGCAACAATTGCTTTACCTCTGGGTGGGATTTAGCTTTTTCTAACTTCCATATTTTTGATTGATATGTTTAGAAGTGTTCTCAGCTTGGCGCATGCTTTTGAATTTTAACCAACCTATTATAAACATTGACTGGTCAATTTGTTGAATTGCCAATAAACTTACAATATCTTTCAAACTGAACAGCAGGCTGTGTGACATCCTTAATCAAATTTTTTTTTTCTTTTTCTTCTTTTAAATTTAAGCTCAACGTTTGGCATTTGGCCTTTGTTGGGTTGGATTCATGTTACACCATTACGTAATTCAACATCAATATATTATTCCATGGGAAAAAGGGCTATTATAAATCATTCTATACTGTTCGAGATCGTTCTGTTTTATGCCTCAATCGATAGAACAAATAAAAAACAAAAAAAGAAGCGTTTTTGAAATTCCTTCACAATTGCCGCAACAGCTGCTATGGCATCTCGACTCTTCCTTAAATCTCTTTGGCAATCGTAAAAAAAACCACATCTTTATATTCTAGTTTCATTTTCGATTTATATAAGTAAAACTTCTTTCACTTTCATACTCTCTTTTTTTACCAAGTAAACTCTTCAAATCGCCTCGAGTTATCTCTATTCAAATTTTTCTGAATTGATGACTGATGCCCAAAAAGGACAACAGTAATGTTTTCTTCTTCTTTGTTTTAACAACTCGGTAAATGAAAAAATAGCTAACTTTATTTACAGATATATATATATATATATATACAAAATTGGTTTTGCTTCCTTGAAAAGTTACCGTGAAAAACAGTGTCACACTACACAATACTCGTATTTACGATAAAATGAATTCAAATTTGTAATACACTCTGACAAAAGTATGGTAATTTGGAAAACAATTATTAGAAGCGGCTCTAGTCCTCAAAGTCTCTTGTTCTGCCAAGACTAATAGAGAAACACAAACACGACTTCAGGAAATGGAAACAGGTCGACTAGAAATGCACGTGGAGTTGGCTTTGTTGTCGCTTGTTTGTAGACCAAACAAGTGGCGTGCTGTTTTGTGCCTGCATGCCGATGATGCGATGCATAGTCTTAAGATCTTTGCAATGCCTAATGTCAAGTTAACTTTTCGCTCCATTTCATTTGTTTCATTCACGCATGAAGGCCCATTTTGCCTACCAAATAGTAAACGGCCTCCATATAGACTGAGAATCTTGAAAAGCTGCGGGGTGCGTGCTTTGCCATGTTAAGGGTAAAAGCTTGACTCCATCGTTCGGCACAAGTAATGCTGGCATGCCATTGCTTAGAATTACTTGTGAAGTTCCTTTAATTCTCATAAGACCTGCCTCTTGTTGATTAAGAGGGGAAGAAGGAGGAGAGGGTTGAGTCGAAGGAAAGGTCATCTCGCTAGAATTCGTAGTTGGTATAGGAAAGGTGGAAAAGGGGTTTACTTTTGACGGTACTCTAGCCATCTGGGCTGGATATAACACGCCATTAGCGCGTGGACCTGTCCATTTCATAGGTTGTGTTTGCGAACAGTAGTAAGATGACAGATGGGACAGAAGATGTGCCCTTAGCTCGTCTGATACGTTATCTAGAGACATGAGATAACGGGCCACTTCGGCAGCACATTCGTTGAATCCTGCTCGATAATTAGCTATCGTTAAGGAGTCTGAAATTATTGAAAAAAAAAAGCAAAACGGGTTAGAAATATGATACAAATTAATTGCATTAACAGAAGGTGTTCGGTAACTAGTCATAACTAAATTCGAAAAAACCTTGGTAACTATTTTCAGTTAAGGCTTTTATTCTTGTCATCTTATTTTAGGGGACGAAAGATTCGGCAATTTATCATTTCAGTGATTAATGACACTCTTGCTTAACTGGTAAGATGACCCCTGAATTAACTTAGGAATTTGCAAACACGAAACGTCCTGTCCACTTCTCGTTTCCGATCGAAGTAGACTTCCCAACCTCAACGAAATATCGCGTTATTTCCCAGTGAGCAAAGCACTTATATAATAAAGAAGAAAGGGGAAAAATGAAGATATGCAGGCCAAGCTATTAATGAATTACGGGTATTCTAAGACAATCTATTGCTTCATACAATATCATGTCGGCATAGTTTTGCGCGATTTAATATCTTATTAACAGGTATATAGCTTTGCTTGATAGCCAATTACAGAACCATTATCATGCGTTTTTTGTTACTAGAACAGGGATTATCGATGAATAGGGAAAGCATAGAAAAAGCTTGTACTCAGCAAACAAAGAGGTATTACTAGTAGAAGTACTGTTTCAGAGTTATAATATTTCAAAAAAACATAGCAATACGCAATAAAGGGTCAGGAACATATTTGCGTCAAAAATGATTTTCAGAAGAAAAAAACATAAAAAAATAAAAAGGATCTTTATGGAGAAAAATAAATTTAACTCACCTGAATTCGATTTAGGTTGTTTATCCTTACTTTCGCGGAGGTATTTCACAGTCATTTCAAGAATATCCGCTTTCTCCATTTTTGAGTATCGCGAAACCTAAAAGTAAAATTAAAGCGTTTAGAAAAGAGCAGAAGAAAAAAATATGAGATTTTTTCTTACATCTTTCTTCATAGCATCCAAAACCAGCGATTTCAGTTCATTAAGGCTCTCATTTATTCTTGCTCTTCTTAACTTCTCCATCTGAGGTTTCTTCGACTGAAATAAAAATAAGTTTCTAAGTGTTTGAAAAACTTTTTTGTACATTAAGCAGAAGGCATTTATTAAATGTACATTTTACAAGTCATGAATGAATGTTACGACCATTTTGTTTAAGTTATTCATTTTCTGAGTAAATTATTATTTACCTTTTTGGAGTCCATCTTCAGACTTTCTTTTGTCGAATTCATCATTTTCAACACTTCTTGATTTTGTGGTAAAATGTGCAATTTTTAAATAGAGAACCAAGGATAAGCAATAAGCGTGTGTCTACATACAATAGAGCAACAACCAGTACCGACACGCTTGCACACGGGTATTACTAACCCAAGTCGTGTGCCAAAGAAATCTTTTTATAGTTCGTATCGTGGGAAAACCCCATGGTCGTGTGTCATCTCTTGGAGTTATTTACAAACACCTATTATAATGCAAGTACTTCAACCGTCCGCGAAAATACACTCAACCAAGACCGTGGGAATGGTCTGCGCTGATTGGCTGGAAGCTAAAAAGGTCGTTGGGTCGAGTGATTTTGACAGAGTCTTTATCGTCAGTGGGCAGAAAGGGTCGTGAGAACAGTTAACTGTGATTGGTTGAGTGAGCTTTGTGGAAAACTGTAATTAATTAATGGAGCTAGAGTCCACAAACGACCGTAATGAGCAAGCAAAATGCCTCGCGACCACCTTGTTTTCTAACGAGCAAGTCCATCGCGTTTATGGTTGTATTCATATAACACACTTCAATAAAAAGGGTTGTTGATAGATAATGCTCCGTTAAAAAGTGAAAATAAGCTTGAAGTACATAATCTCAAACACACTTAAGAGTTTCTATCAACCGGATTTTATCTTTTATCCACATACCGTAACTACGTATTGTTTGGTGTGTTTTCATTAGCTTTAGAACTATTGTTTAATCTTAGATTTTAGAAATGCATTGGCAAAACAGTCTTATTTAACCAAATTAAAGTGATTTCCCACGCTCCAACTTATAAGTCGTGTAGGCTTTTTCCGAATCCCCATGAAGAAGTACGAAGTGTTGATAGCACTGTGAAAAGAACCTGATATATCTGCTGATGGACCGCAATCATCACCTTTTTCGCATCTCTTTTACACAGTGTTATACTGGATTTGTCATGGAACAAAGCCGAGATCCCGCCTTTTATCAGTCATGAGTTTTATTCAAACAAACATTTTACATTTATTCACACCTTTAAATGTTGGTTGTTTTTGGCCGTTTTTCCTAAAGATTTTTTTTCTAAAAATTATCTATTTATTTGATTGGAATATTTGTACAAATGAACTCGACGCATTTGGCTTTACAAGGCAATTGTTCAGTAGGAACGGCTTATTTTACTCTAATTGTTCTACATTTTTTTGCTAATTCAAAAATGGTCTATAAATCAATCAATATTTTGTCTCTCAAAAGCTACTTAAAATGGGTGGCCGTTAGAAGAGTTTGACATTGCTAAAGCGAAAAATGCGCGTGGTAAAGAAAAATCGGGTCACAAGATCAAAGACGAGAAGATCTGCCCGCGCACATACCTTGACGGCATGAATCACGGCTCAAGCTGAAATCACAATCATTTTGTGGCGAGACGTTAGGAGGGGGACACCGCATTTTGGCTACGTCCTAAGCTGTCTAGAATAATAAGTTAAAAAACCTAGCATGGAAAAGGCCAGGACTTAAACACTAATCTCATTTAAAATCACGGTTTCAGAACTGTAGGAGCTCTAATACACTCCTCAAACTACTAATTTTTTTTCGCAATTCTACGTACATCAATGATAGCTGTTTTTTGAGTACGTTACCGAGTTAATATAGTTAACTGATAGATCAAATGCCAAAAAATAGAAATCTCGATAAGCCTTTTGAAACTTATCTTTTTGCATTAGATATATCTAGGCAATGAACCAAGATCTTAGATAAAGTCATGCAATGTGAAAACTGCATTCAAGGATTGCAATTTAAAATCACAGACATTCGAGAAATAGATGACATCAATGGCAATCAATGCAGGGTCTAAAATGCAGTTTTGGAATGCAGTTCCGGTGCAATGCTTATATGACGCGACGCCAACGCATTGTGCGGCTTCGTACGCCCATGGCGTCAAGGGGAGGGGACGGCAAGGATAAGTAAGGTTATGGTGGGGAAAGCGAGGGTCAACCCCCCCCCCCCCCCCCCC